CTTGCTGCTGCTGCTGCACCTGGGCTTGACGGCGGCGCTGGCCCGCGGCTGCCTGCACTGCCACAGCAACTTCTCGGAGAAGTTCTCCTTCTACCGCCACCATGTGAACCTCAAGTCCTGGTGGGTGGGCGACATCCCCGTGTCGGGGGCGCTGCTCACCGCCTGGAGCGACGACACCATGAAGGAGCTGCACCTGGCCATCCCCGCGGAGATCAGTGGGTGCCGGCGCCCAGCCGGGGGTCGGCCGCGGACCCTGCCCCAGACCTTCGGTCCGGCCGCTCACCCGCTCCCTCCTCTCGCCCTCAGCCCGGGAGAAGCTGGAACAGGTGGCGAGAGTCGTGTACAAGAGGATGGATCACCTGTACCAGGGGAAGATGTATTCCCCGGGTAAGGGGCGGGAAACGGAGGCAGGGCCCGCCCCCCCCAGGACACCCGACCTCTGCCCACTGCCCGAGGCTGACCGCCCTCGCCCTGCCCCCGCTTCAGGGTACTTCCCCAACGAGCTGCGAGCCATCTTCCAGGAGCAGGTGCGCCTCATCCAGAATGCCATCATTGAAGGTGAGCAGACGAGGGCTGGGGGAGGGAGGTGAAGCCCAGGCCTGGCGGCCGAGTGCCACGAGGGCATTTCAGGTCCCCGCAGGGCTTGGCTGGGGCTGGAGTGATGCGACCAGGGCTCCTGGCATGGGGCGACTGGAGCTAGGATGGAAGGGAAGGTGGGCAGCTCCCCAGGGAGGAACCCTAGTCACCATTACAGCGCCTGAGGCATCCACGTGCCACACACCCCCGTCCCCAAACTGCTGGAGGCGCTGAGCTGTTACCTCTCCCTCCCCTGAGGCTTGCTGCATCCCAAGCTGAGGGGGCCGCCTCGGGGACCCCTTCCCTCTGGGTCGCAGCCACACATGAAGCCAGCCGAGCCTGGGCCCCAGTGGCCAAGGGGCGGGCCTGAGCCCGTGGTGGACGTCGGGAGATGGCAGGGCTGGGAACGAGGCTGGGCCTGCGAAAGACAGAGCCATCCTGTCCTCCCACAGGTCGCATCAACTGTCAGCATCACTGCGGTAAGTGAGCCTCTGTCCAGGCCGAGGGGCGCAGCGGCTAGGGCCCCAGAGGCAGAGGGGAGCCCGCGGCCGCTCTGTATTGCAGGCATTTTCCAGTATGAGACCATCTCCTGCGGCAACTGCACAGACTCCCTTGTCGTCTGCTTTGGCTACAACTGCGGGTAAGCAGAGGCCCTGCTATCCAGGGAACCTCAGGCGCTCCTCGGAGGGGGTCTCCTCGACCTTCCTGGGCTGGCGGGTTCTGGGGCTTGGGCCATGCCCCCTCCAAGCCAGCATCCTCCACAGGTCCTCAGTACAGTGGGAGTTGGCCGTGGAGGAACTCCTCAATTACATGTGAGTCGGGTCACCACCTGGGCTCGGGGAGGGGACACCGATCAAGCCACTTGGCCCAACTCCGAACCCACTGTCGTTGCAGAAATGACTGGCACAAGTAAGTCGTCTTCAAATCCTATCCAGGTATGTGTGAGCACCTTGCAGGTGTGTGTGTGCAGGGGGCACCTGGTTCCCTTGTCCTCAAGGGGCCACGAGGCGGGACCTCCACCCTGCCGGGGCCTCGGCTGGAGGAAGGTGGAGAGGCTTCCTGGCTAAAAAGCCTCCCTGCAGTCTGGTCCCACCCCTGCCTCAAGCCTGTGGCCGGAGCCCAGGAGGCTCCCGTCACGGAAGGATGGGGTGCCCCACGCGAGGGTCTGACTGGACCATCTTGCCTTTCAGACAGGGGAACAGCACGAGGTAAGACCGCCCTGGCCAGCGGGAGGGTGGGCAGGGAGTGAGGAGACAGGCGCTACGGTTTTCCCGGGTCAGAGCGGGCTCCGGGGCAGGGCCTCCCGGTGCCGCCTCTGCAACCACACCTCTGCGGTCGTTTCATGAACAAACCACGTGCTACGGCTGCTCCTGGCCTGGACACGCAGAACCACCCCTGCCTTGTGAGTGGCCTGGGAAGCAGAGCCCGGGGGGTGGGATGCTCCTAGGCCAGAGGTCAAACCCCAGACGCGTGCACGCCGGGCTGCCCCCACCCTCAGTCTGTCATGTGGGTGTGAAGATGTGGGCGACCCAACCTGCTGGCCACAGGATCAGATGGGGTCTCCCAGCACATACCCCGGGAGGAAGCCAGGGAGAGGCGCGGCAAGGCTGAGTACCTTCTTTCCCACAGCCTGATCTCACCAAGCCTTAAGTGTCTGCAGCCCTCACAACTGGCCAACCTAACCTTGGAGAACGCCTCCAAGTGTCTGACTCAGCACTGACGCCCCAGGCTGGCCCAAAGCGACGCGGGGGCCAGAACCCAGCTGTTCCACCCCAGCCTGCTGCTGCCTGGGGCCCCTGCCACCTCCTAGAGCCTGAGCCAGCCAGGCCAGCCGGGAGGGGACGGGGTGGGGGGTGGGCTGCTCACAGTGCTGGCACCTGGGCGGGACCACAGAGCTATCTGACAGTGATTAAAACACCTGATATTTTTCATCAGCGAAGTTTCTGTCACACAGGAGGGAGCATCCAGGAATTAAGGAGCCGGTGAGGCTTCTGGGTCTCCACTAAGACTTGAGCCAGCCCAGGGGACCAGATGGGCCCTGAGGCAGCCAGCAGAGCCCCCTCACAGGGCCTCGGATGGTGGGCCTGACCCGCCTATCACGCACGGGCGGACCCACACAAGGCATTACACAAGATGAAGCTGTGGTCGGTGGAAACCAAGGCCAGCCTCAGTGCGTCTTGGTTTCCGGTCACGACAGCACAAGGTCCCCCCTGCGCTGTCTTCTAGCTGCCATGCTCATAGGGGCATCTGGATCAAGGGAGCACCTGCTGGGAGCTGGCCCCAGGTCACCAACCACAGCTGCCGGTCACATCCTGGCTGTTATTGACACGGGTGTCCGAGTGCCACCTTCCGGGCCCTTTGGGACACTGGCCAAGGGCAGGTGTGGATGTCTAGAATGGGAAGGATGCTCGCGGGGGCTGCTTTTGGGGCATGACTTTCGGAAGAGCTGGGATGGGGTCTCGCCAGTGTCTGCTCCCACCATGGCAGCACCTGGGGTAATGTGCGCTATGTGGGCCTCCTCCTGCTGGCCTGGTCTCATTCGACAGTCCCCGTCAAAAACACAGCATAAGGCCGACACGAGGCAAGGAAGAGCTGGCGGCTGCTGACATGCCTCGCGGGGAGAGACCCATGGTGTCTGCAGAGGCGCGGGAGTTCCCTTGCCGGTCACCACCTGAGTCCCAGGCCTGCTGGTGTGCCGGGGGTGGGGTGGCCTCCCAGGCCGGGAGCCACGGCACACGTCCTGCAGTGCCTGAGACCCCGGTGAGGGCAGACACCGACACGGAAGCGTGTGTTTTGCAACTTTATTGGATCATCTTGACACGAAATCATGACAGCGTGATGTCTCTCTTCTTTACACGGGAATGTTGATAGCAAATAAGTTCTTATGTAACACATCATACAGTTTCAAAATCCTAGAATCACTGCACGGGATTCTGTAATAGATTACTCTACATGCTAAAGTGACAGTTTTCATCAAAAGGAGAAGATAAAATGTCACGGGAACCATTATCTCTGAGGAAAGTTCGGGCTCGCCCTGCTCTCTGGCTGCTCTGCCCACAGGGGGCTTTGCGCGGCCTGCGGCAGCCCAGGACAGTGGCCTCGCCCTGAGGCACCCGGCCCAGGCCTGGAGCTCCAGGCCCCACGCCAGACCGGACCCTGTGGTGTGGACGGTGACAGCAGAGGGACACAGTGGCACAACCCCGCTGACACCCAAGCCCAAGCCCACCGAGACGTGCTTCTACTGACCAGGAGCAAAAGGACAGGCCTGTCCTGTCCCATCCACAGTCCTGACCGCAGCACCTCCCTCACCCTGTCCTGCCTGCAGCTGGAGTGAGGCCCAGGATTCTGGTGGGTGCAGGTGACAGCGGCCCACCATGGGTTCTGGGAGCCAAAGGTTCGCAATGGGCCCATTCTCAGCCCCTGCAGATGCCACTGGTGGGAATGTGTGGGGACAGAAGCAGGAGGCGGGGCTCCCCTGGAGACCACATCAACCCCGCGCTATCTGCCGAGTGCCCCTCCTAGGTGCCTGCCAGGTCCCTGCCCAGGACGGCAGCCTTTGTGACCACATTCGAGGCCTCGGGCCAGCGTGGGGTGGGCACGGAGCCAGGCCTGAGGGCCCCTTGCTGGTCTGGGGCCCAGCAGGGGGTTTCTTGCCAACGAGAGTAGGAAGAGTCACAGTAAGAAAGGATGGTCAACAAATCAACGCAACGACTTGATGTCTACACAGCGGGCGACGGAGCACGGACGCTTGGGCTTGGGCACGGCACGCGACGGGCAAGGCGTTGGTCCGGGTCCCGGGCGTGCCCCACGGCGGGCTCAGCCACGCTCAGCACTGGGCCAGTGTCGCCTTCATCTCCTCCAGCACGTTGCCCAGTAGCGTGGAGTCGCTGCACTTTCCGTCCACCGACACAGAGCTCTCACCCTGCGAAGCCAAAGGGGTGTTGTCTAAGCACGCACCAGCGGCCCCAGCTCTGCGGGTTGCGCCCTGAACGCTGTAAGCACATTCTCATGTGCTGGAGCCCGGGCCATCCTGAAAGAACACACAGCAAAGGTCCGGGGAGGGAGCACAGCCCACAGGGAGCAGGGAGCCGCCACCTGGGGATGGGGACGCCAAGGGACCAGCGGCGGCCGGTGGACGGGGCGGAGACCGGGATTCCAGGAGCTCCTCAGTTGGCAGCCAGCCCTCGGCCCTTGTGTCCTGGGCCCAGAAGCAGGTGCAGTGGCAGTAATGGGCCCCCACCCCCACCGAGGGCCTCAAGAGGGAGGCCCAAGGGGGCTGCAGGGGAAAGCCACCCCGTGAAGCCGCTATGATCTGCCGGGTCACCCCATGGGTACAGATCCCAAAGAGCCAGCCGAGACGCCGAGGGCACGGAGCACACAAGGTGGCTGCGGACCACCGCAGGCGGCGTGAGGCACACAGAAGACAGGGCTGGAAGGGGGAGCCGACGCAGAACCCGGCCCTGGGGCAGGACGGAGGAGGGCGGGCCTGACCTTCATGGTCTCCTTCCCGACGGAAACAGGGTCCAGTGTCTGGGACTCGCAGCGTCTGGGGCAGAGTCCAGAATCACTCAGCCCCAAAGACCAGGACGACCTCCGCGTGAGGAAACACCCACCGACACCAAGGCCAAGCGGGGGCAGACCTCAAAACTCTTTGACCCAGGCTTTATTTGAGAGGCGGGGGATCTTGTTCTGTCACCCAGGCTGGCCTTGGACTCGAACCTCAAGCGATCCTCCCTCCTCAGCATCTCGAAGGGAGCCACCGCACCCGCTGACAGGAGCTTTAAAGTAGCTGTCAGGAAGACACTCCAACAATGGAGAACAAAGACACGGAAGACACCAAAAGCCAGCCGGGGACTTTGGATCTGCAAAACAGACACTCCCCGGATGTGACAGGAGTCAGAACTGGACACAGGGCTCATACCTGGAATCTCAGCACGTTGGGAGACTGAGACGGGATGATCACTTGAGCCCAGGAGTCAAGACCAGCCCAGGCCACACAGCGAGACACAAAAAATATTAGCTGGGCATGGTGGCACACACTCGTCATCCCAGACGCTGCACTCACGCCTGGACGAGAGACTGAACTTGACAAGAGATCACAGACACAGGCCCCCGGGGAGAGCCCCAGGGACAGGAGGAGCAGCAGCCCCAGGCTGAGGGGAAAGGCAGAGGCTCTGGGCCCGCCACTCTGGGTCCCCCAGGACAGTCGCCACCAGCAACCCAGAGGACACCCACAGACGCTAAAACACGGAGGCATGGAGACACGGACTCCCCCGGGCGGCTCCCGGGAGTGTGCCCTGGAAGAGCGCGCAAGGGGCTCCTTGAAGGCTGAGGACCGATGTCCACAGCACGGCAGCCCTGCTGCTCGGTGCCCACCCAGAGAGCAGAGAGCAGAGTCCTGAAGAGACACTGGGGCACCCAGGTCACCTTGGCCATGAATGAAGAGGCTCCGACCCAGGTCACAAGGCGCGGAAGGACCTTGAGAACGTCATGTCAATGAGGCCCAGAGACAGAGGGATACATCCTGTAAAATCCCACTCCTAGGAGATCCCTGGAGGCCTCAGGTCCAAAGACAGGAATGGAATGGTGGGTGCTGGGGGAGGGAGGGGACAGGGTGAGTATTTCATGGGACAGAGCTTCAGTCTGGGGAGAGGAGGTCTGAAACAGTGGTGGTGACAGCTGCACAACCACGAGTGTGCTTAATGCCACGATACCGTGACTCAGAAATGGTTCAGATGAGCCGGGCTCTGTGGTTCAGCCTGTAATCCCGCACCTTGGAAGGCTGAGGTGAGTGGATGGCCTGAGCCCGCGGGTTCGAGACCCGCCTGGCAACTTGGCAAGACCTCATCTCTCCAACAAATCAAAAAAAAAAAAAAAAAAAAAAAACAGCCAGGTGTGGTAGCGCGTGCCTGTAGTTCTGGCTACTTGGAAGGCTGAGGCAGAAGGATCGCCGGAGCCCAGCAGGTTGAGACTGCGGTGGCTGTGAGCGTGCCACTGCCCTCCAGCCTGGACCACAGAGTGAAACTTCAAATCAAAAAGAAAAAAAGAAAGGAAAGCAAGCCCCAGAATCCACCTCATCAAAGTTGCACTTGCTGGATTTTTCTTTAAAAAATTGAGTCGGCCGGGCGTGGTAGCTGACGGCAAGTGCAACCAGGCAAGACCTCATCTCTACAATACTAGCCGGATGTGGTGGCGCATGCCTGTGGTTCCAGCTACTTGGAAGGCTGAGGTGGAAGGATCACTGGCGACTAGCAGGTGGAGGCTGTGAGCGTGTCACTGCACTCCAGGCTGGGCGACACTGAGATTCCAAAAACAAAAAAGAAATGGCTAAGATGGAGCTGGGCACAGTGGTTCATGACTGTAGCCCCAGCACTTAGAAGGGTGGCAGGGAGAGGAAAGCCTGAGCCCACAGGTTCCATTCCAGCCTGGGCGACATGGCAAGACCTCATCTCTACAATGAATCAAAAAATGAGCCGGGCATGGCAGCACATGCCTGTGGTTCCAGCTACTTGGAAGGCTGAAGCGTAAGGATAACCTGAGTCCAGCAGATCAAAGCTGTGGTGGCCATGAACGTGCCATTGCACTACAGTCTAGGTGACAGAATGAGACTGACTCAAAAAAGAAAAAAGAAATGGTTAAGATGGTAGATTCTGTTCTGTGCATTTTATTACAATTTTTTTTTTGAGTTGGAGTCTCACTCCGTCACCAAGGCTAGAGTACACTGTGGCACACTCACAGCCACTGCAGCCTCAACCTGCTGGGCTCCGATGATCCTTTCACCTCAGCCTTCCAAGTAGATGGAACTACAGGCACATGCTATCACGCCCAGCTAATTTTTTGATTTATTGTGGAGACAAGATCTCACCAACTTGCCTGGGCAGATCTCGAACCCGTAGGCTCAGTCCACTTGCCTCGGCCTCCCAAAGTGCTGGGATTATAGGCTGAGCCACTGAGCCTGGGCTATCACAATTTTTTTAAAAATTAGGAAAACAGACCAGGCACGGTGGCTCAAGCCTGTAATCCCATCATTCTGGGAGGCCGGGGTGAGGGGATTGCCTTAGCGCATATCGTAGACCTCATCTCTACAATATGTCAAAAAATTAACCGGACATGGTAGCGCATGCCTGTAGTTTCAGCTACTTGGAAAGCTGAGGTGGGAGGATCAACTGAGCCCAGCAGGTCGAGGCTGCAGTGGCCAGGAGCATGCCACTGCACTCCAGCCTGAGCAACAGAGTGAGATTCTGACTCAAAAAAAAAAAAAAAAAGGAAAACAAATAGCTGAAAACTTCTCAAGTATGAAGACAGACATGCACAGAAATTCAAGTAGTACAGGAAACTCCAAAAGGTTTAAAACAAAAGAAATCCATACCCAGAAAAGTCACCAATTCCTGCCTGCCAGCCTGGGAGACAGAATGAGACTCTGACTCAAAACAGAAAGAAAAATGAAAGAAAAAAAATGGTTAAGATGATAGTTTCTGTTCTGTACAGTTTCATCACAATTTTTTTTAAAATTAGGAAACCAGTCCAGGCGTGCACGGTACCTCAAGCTTGTAATCCCAGCACTTTGGGAGGCCAAAGTGAGAGGACTGCCTGAACTCAGGGGTTCAAGATCAGCCTGGGCAACTTGGTGAGACCTTGTCTTTACAATAAGCCAAAAATTAGCCAGGTGGGGTAGTGCACGCCTGTAGTTCCGGCTACTTGGAGGGCTCAGGCGGAAGGAAGGATCGCCGGAGCCCAGCAGGTCGAGGCTGGGGTGGCCATGAGTGTGGCCTGCTCTCCAGCATGGGCGAGGGAGTGAGACTCCAACTCAAAAAAAAAAACACGTAATAAGCCTCTCACCAACACAGCCAAGAAAAAGGCGGGACAGCGCCGCCACCAGTATCCAGCTGCAGGTGACCCCATGGCCAGCACGAGGAGGAGGGAGCCCTGTCAGCAGCTTGAACATGGAAGCTCGGCAGCTTCCACCGAGAACCCAGAGCAGTCACGTGGAAGTGACAACCACCAGGACGCACCCGAGATGAAACAGGTAACAGGAAGTCCCACAACCGTTAAAGAAGAGACTGAAAGTGTCGACGAAAATCTTTAGGAAAAGAAACGCCCGGACCAGGTGGCCTCTCTGGCGAGTTCCACTAGACACTCATCATTTCCAGGGAATAAACAGCAGAAGAGGAGACACAGTCCTTAACTCATCTTATGAGGCCACTGTTAACCTGATGGCAAAACCTAGTCAAAGATGCTGCAAAAAAGGAGACAGAAGCCCAGTATCCCCGGAAATACAGACTCGAAACCCCAACCAACGTTCACCGACTGAACTCGGCCACAAACACACCAAGAAGGAAGAAGGACCCAAGGGCCTCGGGCGGGAGGAACTCGAGTGGAGAGTAAGGGAAGTCCTGCTCCGAGGGCAGCAGTGAGAGTGAGCGCCGGCCAGGGAGCACACGGGGGGGGGTGTGGGGGTGCTGGGCGCTGGTGCTGAGCCTAGCCCAGGACCCCAGGAGGAGGCGGCCCCGGCCCGCAGGGGGGGTCTGGGCTGCTAGCAGGCCCCAGCTGGCCCCACTGGCCCTGGCGGGAGATGCTGGCACCCCAGGGCCTGGCTCACCTTCTTCACCAGCAGGCAGACGTGGTGGCCCTGGATGGAGCGGCTGTACATGGAGGCGCAGGAATCCACCCGCTCCACAACTGCAACAGAGGGTGGTGTGAGGCCCCACCCTGCGGTCCCAGAGGCTGGCAGGAGCAGGAAGTGGCCCCGGGAGGCCCAGGGTGTGGGTGATGGCAACACAGGCACCAACCCGCAGACCTTGGACACAGGTACCCGCCACACAGGACCCCAAGGTCAAGAGTCACCCACAAGAGGGCTATGGGAGGGGGCTGGGTGTGAGTGCTGTCAACAGGTCACGCCCCTTACCGGAAAAATGGTGGTGAAAACAGATCTTTGCCAGAAGGTTCTGGAAGGACATGCTAATGCCGTCCACTTTGATTGAGCTTATGCTCAGGTCCCCAGACTCCAGCAACTTGGCAAAGGCGTCACTGTGGGGAGGGCGGGACAGAGGATGACTACAGGCAGGACCAGGGCCCTGGGGCTCCCAGCCCATGCAGGCCAGCCCTACCCGGATGCTGCTGGCCTGGCGGATGCTCCGCCAAGGGCCAAGAGACCAGGAGGCCTCCACGGGGCCTGCAGGACGGCCCCATCCTCAAGATGCAGCCCAGTCCCAGGATCCCAGCAAGTCACTTCGTTTTGAGACAGGCTTTTAGGGACGTCGCTAAGGTCAGCCTCCCAGGCCATGAGGGCAAGAGCCTGCTGCTGGAGCTGTGGGGTCCATGGCCGTCAGCTGACCCGGTGCTGACGAGGCAGCCAGGCCTGCGCCGAGCACGGCGGACTTGGGCCTACAGTGCGCCCCCTTGCACGTGGGGTTGGAGGAACGGCCCCCCAAGGCCCAGGCCCAGTTCATCTCCACAAGGGCCGCACCTGTAGCAGGGCGTGGTGACCAGGTAGGACGTGCAGCTGAAGTGCAGCCGAAAGTCCAGCTTTTCATGGGTCGCCCCCTCGTCATCCTGCAGGGAGCGAAGGTGGAGGCTGAGCGCGCCCGGCCCACTTCCCCGGGGGACCCCTACCCCCATCGGGCCAGGCCGAGGGAGGAAGGGTGGCCCTGGGCCCTGGGCGCTCCCGGCCCACAGAGCCAGCCCCAGCACCGAGGCCCCACGCACCTTGGCAATGAAGGACAAAGTCCCCTTGAGCTTCTGGGCCATGACGATGCTCTGAACAGTGAACATGAACTGCGCTTCATTTGAGACGCCTGGCAGGGTGAGGAGGAGCGGGCCTGAGATGCGGCGGGTGGGGGTTCTGTCCTCAGCCCGAGTGCCCTGTGGCGGACGGGTGGCCAGGCTCATGCCCCAAGGGAGCACTGGCGACAGGAGCAGAAGCAAGGGTCTCCCGGCATCCCCACCCATGCCTGGACCTGGTTCTGCCCCCCTGCATGACGACACACTGGCCACCAGGGCTGGGGAACTCGGAAGGCCCAGGGTCCGGCCTGCCCTCGGGGCTCCAGCACGGCCTGCCTGAGGTCACTGTGCTTCTCAGAGCCGTGAGAGACCCCAGACAGGGGCACCAAGAGGCCCGGCCGAGGCCCCCAGGCCCAAGGGTGGGAGGCAACGAGAACCAGCCAGGCCCGAGCGACGCTCACCCGGGGGCAGCTGGAAAGGCACAGGCACACCGTCGTGGACGGAGGCACCCTCTGGCCGGGCCATCTTGGTGTTGAGTGAGTCCAGCACATTGAGCTCCATGCTCTTGAGGAAGCTGCCGCTCAGGTTCTCCAGGATGATGGACACGGTCACCTGGCTGTCCCTCTGTAGGCTGCCCTGGACGTCATAGGTCTGCAGGAGCAAGGCCAGGGTCAGCGGGGCTGGGGCACAACTCGGGGGCAGCAACGCCAGCCTGGTACAGCCCACAGAAGTGACAGGCATTCTGAACAACAGCACAAGGAGCCCGCTCCCAACTCTCCAGAGCACACTCGCTGAGCACTGTGTGTGGTCGGAGCGCCTCTGTCTCCACATTTTGTTTTTGAGTCTCACTCTGTCGCCCAGGCTGGAGGGCAGTGGCACGCGCACGGTCACTGCAGCCTCGACCTGCTGAGCTAAGGTGATTCTTCCGCCTCAGCCTCCCAAGCAGCTGGAACTACAGGCATGTGCAAGCATCCGGCGAATTTTTTTGGTTTTTTTACAGAGATGAAGTCTCACCAAGTTGCTCAGGCAATCATCTCAACTCAGGCTCCCAAAGTGCTGGGATTATAGGCGTGAAACAATGTGCCCAGGCTTCTGCCTTACATTTTTTTTTTTTTTGAGTTGGGAGTCTCACTCTGTCACCCAGGCTGAAGTGCAGTGGCACACTCATGGCCACCATGGCCTTGAACTGCTGGGCTCAGGTGATCTTCTCACCTCAGCCTGAGTAGCTGGAACTTGTATCTAAGCCTGTGTTCGCCACGCCCGGCTAGTGATTTATTCATTTATCGTAGAGATGAGGTCTCGCCAATTTGCCCAGGCTGGTCTCAAACCCCTGGACTCAGGTAATCCTCTTGCCTCAGCCTCCCAAAGTGCTTTAGCCACCGCGCCTGGCCACTTTGTTTTTTCATTACAGAGATGGAGTCTCGTTCCGTGGCCCATCCTGGAGCAGTGGTTTGCTCACAGCTCCCCACAGCCTCAAGCTCTCAGGCTTAAGCGATTCTCCCGCCTCTGCCTCCCCAAGTGCTGGGATGACAGGCATGAGCCACCATACCAGCCCATCTTTTGTGGATACACCTCAGTGACCCTTCTGTTGGCCCCGGCCAGCAGTGCAGCTGGAGGGGCGCAGATGCCCAAGGACTGCCTCCTGGAGAGCACGGGTCTGGCCAGGCGCTAACATCTGGAGCCACCTGCCTCAAGCTTTGCCCACAGCTCTCTGCGGCAGCAGGGAGTGGAGCTGCCCCCCCCGCCCCAGGGAGGGGCCGGTCACTCACCATCCTGACGTGGGAGTTCTCGGCGAGGAGCACGTAGCTGGACACGGGCTGGGGAGAGAGACACTTCTGCTCCAGCAGGCGGACCCGTGGCCTCCCTCCAGGACAAGGACTCTGCTGCCGCCCGAGGCTCCGGCCCAAAACCTCACTCCCAGAAGCCGCGGGGCCGGGGTTGCAGAGGGTCAGCACTGGATCCTGGCCCCACGGCCCCCGCCACAGGGTGCTGGGGAAGGGCCAAGGCTGCCCCGGCCCCGAAGGGTCCGCCGCTTCCTGCATCTCTCAGTCCTCCCCACACTGTGGCCCGGCGGCCAGCGCCCTGGGGCGGGCGGGGCGCTGAAGTACCCCTCACCGGGAGCGGCTCCTCCTCCAGCGCGCCGTTCTGCACCGGCTCCCCTGCGGCCTCCTCGGGGCCCGGCGGCCGCTGCCTGGACTTCTTCCTGTCCTTGGGCCGCTCCTCCTTCTCCCTCTTGTGCTTCTTCTTCTTATGCTTGGAAGGTTTCTGGGATGGAGAGGACCCGGAGTCAAGCCCTAAACTCCTCAGCTGCTGCCCTCACAACACGTGGAAAAGGGCATGCACCCTGCGGGGGCGGGAGGCAGCCATGTCCTGCCCACCTGGTCCGCGGCAGGAGCAGCGCGGCTCAAGGAACGGTCGCCGCCGACCAGGGCACATGCAGGGGCAAACTACCAGGAACGCCCCAGACGTGAGCCCAGTGACTCCTCACCAGGTGACACCCGAGAGGGAACACATGCCCACAGACGCTTGTCCACACAGCAGCAGGATTCACAACTGTCACAGGGTGGACACAGCCCGAGTGCCCGCCAAAAGACGACGGACACAGCGTGGACACAACTCAGCCAACAAAGGAAGGAAGCCCGACACAGGCCACGGGCACGGATGGACCTTGGGGACATCACACTCAGTGAGCTACACACAGAAAAGGCTACACACACAGGGTGTGACTCCATTTCCATGAAATTTCCAGAACAGGCCAAAGCAGGGACAGGATGTGAATGTGTGGGTGCCGGGAGCGAGGGAAAGAGTGGGGAGTGACAGGGTGGGGCTTCTATTGGGGTTGATAAACATGTTCTGGAATTAGCCGGGCTCGGTGGCTCAGCCTGTAATCCCGCGCCTTTGGGAGGCTGAGGTGAGTGGATGGCCTGAGCCCGCGGGTTCGAGACCCGCCTGGGCAGCGAGACCTCATCTCTACAATAAATAAAAAGAAAATCAGCTGGGCGTGGTAGTGCGTGCCTGTAATTCCGGGTACTCGGAAGGCTGAGGCGGAAGGATCACCAGAGCCCAGCAGGTCGAGGCTGCGTTGGCCGGGAGCGGCCGCTGCACTCCAGTCTGGGCAACAGAGTGAGACTCCGACTCAAAAAAAAAAAAGATGTTCTGGAATTAGAGGTGATGGGTGCATGACTGTGAATACATCGGAAACCACTGAATTACACACTTTAAATGAGAGTGCTTTAGGAGTGTGAGTCATATCTCAACAGAGCTGTTACAAAGAGAGACCAGATCTTCTTGTAGTTCATGAACATTGACACTGGGTGTTCACGCGCACTAGACCCGCCTCACCCGAAAAAGTACAGAGAGGAAAGAAGACCAGAACCACAGCAGAGTCCACCACGCGAGTGTGGACATGAAAGTCAAGAAGCACGACCCGTCTGGGGCGCAGGCAGTGGCAGAAGCCACGCCCCGAGCACATGGGCAGTGCCAGGGGCTCAGGCCAGGCGACGCACGGCCCCAGCCTCACCCGTTCCTGGTCTGGCTCCTCGGCGTCCTCCTCCTCGGGGCCCGCTCCTCGGGGCCCCTCACACTCCTCTCTGGGGGCGGGGACGGCATCCAGGCCCAGCTCATCCTGCAGGCAGTGGACAGGCTCAGTCCCAGGGACAAGGGCCCCTCGTCCCCCGCAGCTCAGCCTCAGCCCTGGGCCAGGAAGGAGCGGGCCCTTGGGACCCCCCGCCAGTCCCCTGCCTTCGCCCACCTGAGGGGCTGGCCCGTGGGGGGTGCAGACTTCCCAGCCGGGGTCCCTTCCCACCTGGCCCTCCCCCAGCACCGCGGCACGCAGGAGTGGCCCGTGGCTGCTGCCGAGGACTAGGCCCCGGGGCAGACAGGGCCGGCCCGGAGGGCACAGGGCCGGACCTGGAGAGACCCCAGGCTGTAGCTCCAGGCTGGCACCAGGTGTGGGGTGTACAGGGCTTGGCCCAAGTGCCTGGAGTGGCTCCCGCCAGGCTCTTACCGTGGACGGGACTGGGATGGGGGCGGTGGCAGGCGGTGGGGTGGTGGACAGCCAGAAATCCAAGTCCTCACCCTGAAAGCACAGGAACACAGGCTTTTGACAAAAGCCAGCACGTGGTGCCTGTGGAAGGAGGGGCCGACAGGGTGCAGAAGGCCCCACCCTGCCATGCTGCTCCGAGGGCACTGGACCCATCTGCCTCGGCAGACCCTGTGAGTCAAGGAGCTGAGGACGGTGTCAGCCCCAGGGCTGACTGTGCCAGCCTCTCTGACTCCAGCTATCACTGTAAGAAGAGGCCCATAGGCCAGGCACGGTGACTCACACCTATAATCCCAGCACTTTGGGAGGCCGAGGCAAGAGGATTGCCTGAGACCACGGGTTCGAGACCAGCCTGGGCAACTTGGTGAGACCTCATCACTGCAGTAAGTCAAAAAGTTAGCCTGGTGTGGTGGCGCACACTTGTAGTTCCAACTACTTGCAAGACTGAGGTGGAAGGATCACCTGGGCCCAGCAGGCGAAGGCTGCAGTAGCCGAGAGCGTGCCCCTGCCCTCCAGCCTGGGCGACAGTGAGACCGTGACTCAAAAAAAACCCAGCAAAACACAGAGGCAGCCCACAAGCAAACGCACCCCCCACCCCGTTCTTTGCCACAAGCTCACTGCAGTCCTGTGCCCACCTTGCCGAATGGCCGCCATGTGCCAACGCCTGAAGGAGCACGGGCCAGCGCTTTGCACCCACCCTCCTTTAAAGACCCATTTCTTGCTGGGCAAGGTGGCTCGTGCCTGTCACCCCAGCACTTTGCGAGGCAGAGGCAAGAGAGATGCCTGAGCCTGGGGTTCAAGGCTAGCCCGGGCCATGTGGCGAGACCTCGTCCCTCCAATAAATCAAAACATGAGCGGGGCATGGGGACACACGCCTGCAGTTCCGGCCACTTAGAAGGCTGAGGCGGAAGGATCGCCGGAGCCAGCAGGTCAAGGCTGTGGTGGCCGGGAGCGTGCCACCGCACTCCCGCCCGAACAACAGAGTGAGACTCTGACTCCAAAGGAAGTAAAGATCCATTTCCTCCTCCCTGTGAGGTCTGTGTGCAGACGCCAAGGAGGGCGTTCTGGAGCGGCACAAAGGGGTCTCCCAATGAGCCCCCCACGGCACCTGGTCCTCCATCCCTCCAATGTGAGCTCAGGGACCAGAGGAGTCAGCACTTCCCGCCCCGCCTGGGCTGTGGCAAGAGGCTGGCGCTGCGTGGCCTGAACTGAGACTCGGACCCCTCTCCTGTGAAATGCCGCCGCCCTGTGGCACCCCCTGACTTCAGGGCCAGGGCCAGGGTTAGGAGGAGCCCCCGGCGCTGGCCTCACCTTCTTCTCCTTGTCTTTCTTCTTCTCTTTCTCCCTCTCTTTGTCCTTGTGTTTCTTCTCTTTCCTCTTGGGTTTCTTGCTTTTCTTTTCTACAGCAGGAACATCCTCTTTTTCGGGGGACTTTGAGGTCTCAGCATTCCTGTGTTTCTGGACAGGAAGCTTCTCGCTGTCAGCTAAGGGCCTTGGGAGGGGAGAGGAGCGCCGGGGTCACGAGGTGGAGCTGCTGGCCTCCCCGAGGCCCGCTCAGGACTCTGTGCCCATCCCCAGGAGAGCCTGAGCCGCGCAGTGGGGCCCCTCCCCTGCCCAGCCACCATGCAAGGCCCCAGGTGGAGCTTGGCCACGTTTCTGGGTCCCCGCCAGAGGCTCTCCTGAGCAGTCTCTGGCGGCCGCACCTGTCCCAGCACGAGGACATCCCTGGCACCCAGGGTTGGAGACCTCGGAGCCCACACTCAGGATCCTGCCCCGCAGCAGGGGGAACCATCGTCAGCAGCAGCCCAGGACAGCCTTCCCTCACCCTGCACCCCGGGACCCACTCCCACTCACTTATCCAGGTCTATGTCCAGGGCCCTGTAGGGGTCGTTGGGGTCTTTGTCATCCTCGTCGCTGGGCAGAGCATTCTGAGGGACAGAGAAGTCCTCAGCACCCGTGGCTGCCCGCATGGCGGTGAACCCCACCCCAGCAAGGCCACTCCGTGGGGACCAGATGCCCAGGGGCAGTGACAAGGCTTGGGGCAGCGCTGCACAGCGTCCACACGCACCAAGGGCCCCGGGGCCTCCACACGCACCGAGGGCCCCGGGGCCACCACAGCACACGGGCCCGTGTCCGCCTCGGAGGCCGTGAGAAGGGGCTGCTGGCTCTTGGGTCGGCCTTCCCACCACCAGACGCACGTGGCCCAGGACAGGGGAGAAGAGGCTGGCCTAGAAGAGGCTGAGCAGGTCTGGGTCCACCCCGTGTCCCACAAGGCCCCTGGGCAACGCCCCAGGCGGGGGCGGGGCTGACCTCAGGCATCTCCTCGGTGACGATGTCCACCCGCTGGGCAGGGGCGATATCCTCGTCGCTCTCCGTGGCCAGCGAGCTGCGGTGGCGCCTGCCCTTCCTCTCCTTGTCCTTGCGCTTCTTCCTCCGCTTGTCCTTCTCCAGCTTCTGCCGGTGCCTCCGCTCCTCCTCCAGTTTCACGTACTGGTCAGACATGGGCAGCCCTGTGGGTGGTGGTGGGCACTGAGCAACAGCCCGGGGACGCACGGGGAGCACTCAGCACCAAGTCAGCGGACATGCGGGCGGCAGCGGGAACACCCACGCCCCACACAACGGGCACCGAGATGTGGGCAGACACTTGCCTGGGACTTTCAGAGGGACGGAGAGGTCTATCTGCACCACCGGGATGTGCTCCACGCCCGGAACGTCTTGGTACCGCTGCAAAGGCAAGGCCCTGGTGTCAGCGGCACGATGGGAGGGGAGACTGTCACTTGAAGGACAAGCCTGGGACGCATGCCCCTGGGAGCGCAGGGTCCTGCTAGAGCCCAGGGCCGCGAGAGCCAGTGTGCATGCTCAGTCCTGGGCCGCATCTGCTTCACAACGAGTAAGAGCCCACAGGTATACCAGCAGAGAGGCAGGCTTCTCCTCCACTTCCCCACCTGAATCTTTTTTTGTTTTGTTTTGTTTTTTCTTTTTTTTGAGTTTGAGTCTCACTCTGTCACCCAGACTGGAGTGCAATGGCCGCTCCTGGCCATCGCAGCCTCAACCTGCCAGGCCCCAGCGATCCTTCCACCTCAGCCTTCCAAGTAGCTGGAACTACAGGTGCACGCTACCACGCCCAGCTAATTTTTGATTTATTGTAGAGATGAGGTCTCATCAAGTTACCCAGGCAGGTCTCGAATCCGCGGACTCAGGCAATCCATTCACCTCGGCCTCCCAAAGTGCTGGGATTACAGGCTGAGCCACTGAGCCCAGCCTGTTTTGTTTATTCAAGTTGGAGTCTCACCCTGTTGCCCAGGATGGAGAGCAGTAGCACGCTCACGGCCACCCGTGTCGACCTGCTGGGCTCTGGCAATCCTTCCGCCTCAGCCTTCCAAGTAGCCAGAACTACAGGCGTGTGCTACCACACCCAACTAATTTTTAATTTATTGTAGAGACGAGGTCTCACCATGTTGTCCAGGCTGGTCTCAGGCAATCCTCTTGCCTTGGTCCCTCAAACTGCTGGGATTACAGGCTTGAACCACTACACCCGGTCTGAATCATCTGTTAATGTCTTTTTTTTTTGAGTTGGAGTCTCACTCTGTCGCTCAGACTGGAGGGCAATGGCCGTTCCCGGCCACCGCAGCCTCGCCTGCTGGGCTCCAGCGATCCTTCCGCCTCAGCCTTCCGAGTAGCCGGAATTACAGGCATGCGCTACCACGTCCGGCTGATTTTTTTATTTATTGTAGAGATGAGGTCTCGCTGCCCAGGCGGGTCTCGAACCCGCGGGCTCATCAAATCCACTCACCTCAGCCTCCCAAAGGCGCAGGATTACAGGCTGAGCCACCGAGCCCGGCATGGCTAATTTTTTTTTTTTTGACTTATTGTAGAGATAAGGTCTTGCCAAGTTGCCCGGGCGGGTGTCGAACCCACGGGGTCAGGCAATCCACTCACCTCAGCCTCCCAAAGATGCGGGATTACAGGCTGAGCCACCGAGCCCGGCAATTTCTTGAGTCAAAGTCTCACTCGGTCGCCCAGGCTGGAATGCAGTGGCACAATCACAGTCACTACAGCCTTGACCTCCTGGGCTCAGGAGATCCTGCCACCTCAGCCTCCCAAGTAACTAGGACCACAGGTATGTGCCATAGTGCCCGGCTAATTTTTTGATTTATTTAGAGACGAGGTGTTGCCGAGTTGCCCAGGCTGGTCTTGAACCCCTGGATTCAGGCAATCCTCTCGCCTATGCCTCCCAAAGTGCTGGGATGACAAGCCCGAGGCACTGCAGAAGCCTTATTTTTATTTTCCAACTAGAAAAGAAAAACACAGGCTCAGTCAGGCAGTGCACCACGCCCACCAGGTGTGGGACCAAGCGGTGGGACAGCAGCCGGTGTGCATGGAGAGTGGGTTCAGACAGCCAGCGCCCAGAGACAGCCTGTGGTCCCTCAGTCACCCTGTGGCCCCAGCCCTGCCCCCAGGCCCTGCCCAAGAGAGTGGAAGCACCGAGGACACCGTGGGGCCGGGCTGGGGAGTGGTGCGCTCCCTTCCCTCCAGGCCCCAGCTCCTCGCCCTCTCGGCGCCAGTCAGGCAGCCTGACCCTGGGTGCTGGACAGAGCCCCACGCGCATTCTGGCCCTGCTCTCGGCAGCATCGGAGGCCTTTGCGTCTGGACCGCAGTGGCTGCCCGCTGTCGTGCATCTGCCTCGCTTCCCATCGCTCCACGGGGCACAGACAAGCCCCCAAGCTGGGGGGCACGCGCGTCCACCGCCAGCCCTCAAGACTGTCCAGGGAGCCCTCACCTTCTGTGGGGACGGCGAGCTCTTGATGTAGAACGGGTTGTTGGCCTGCTCCTGCTTCCGGGCCTCTCGGCGCTGCGGGGACAGGACTCCTCGTGAGCAGGGGAGAGGGGAGGCGGGCCGGGACACCCAGGGCTGGGCTAGAGTTCTCGGCACTGCTGGCCGAGAGTCAAGGCCCACGGGTGGAGCACGTATGATCGGGGAACACGAATCACAAACAGTCCAGAGAAAGGAACACCCTCACCTCCACTGCAGGGATCGGGGCTGAGAGGCTGGGCAGCCCACCCAGAGCCACCCACTTTCTGAGGGGCAGGGGCAGGGCTGAGACGGGGCTGGGGCTGCTGACCCTGGGCCAGGGCTCCTGGCCACCAGTCACAGTGCCCAAGGGAACGGCCTGGGGGATGCAGGGGCAAGCAGCTAGGTACAGGGCAGGACGCAGGGCTCGTGGGAAGGCTGCTCCTCCCTCCCTGTCTGGAAGCAATCGGGGCTCCCCTCATCTCTCCCTTCTCTGAGCTGTGTACCCTGCGGCGTTCAAGTCTTGCAGCAACTGCACCCAGGAGGGCATAGCTCAACTGCAGAACCCGGGGCCCTGCATGACAGGTCAGTGACAGGGCTCCTGGAGCTGCAGGAGTGCCCCAGATTTCAGGGAAACCCAACCCATACCACACTTTTACTTGCGGGCCTGAGGATGGGACATGAAGCCTGATCCCGCAGGGTCATGGGTGGCCACTGGGGTAGCAGGACTCGGGACCTCAGAGACACCCGGGAGGGAGGAGCGGATCGCACCATGGCGTGGCACACCCCCCCGGGCCAGCTCCTCCTCGTCAACCTCGGGTGGCCGGTGCCTGGCCTGCCTCTGCTCCTCATCGTGGAAGATGGCCCTGGGTTTCTCATCCTCAGACTCGCTGTCCGAGAGCGGCTCGTTGATCCAGGCGTCCAGGTCTAGGCTGCACCAGACAGGGAGGTCACATGCAGCCCTGCCTCCCAGCCAGCATCGCACCACACCACAACGACCACAGGCGTCCACTGAGCAGGGTCACTGGTGCCTGGCCACGCGACAGCCTCAAATAATGGTGCCTGTCATCCACACTGGTCAACACGGTGGGGATTGCACTGCCCCCTTAGAGACATGGACACGGGCTTGGGGATGCTAGGAGCCTGTGGGGTCGCAGCAGGGTCCCCACAACAGGCTCACACCGCCCCAGAGGTTTGTGCCAGGGGTGGGAGTAGAGAGGTTTCCTGGGAGCAGCCCAGGCACAAGTGTGGGCTCAGAGGAACTTGCCAACGCTCAAGGGTCCATCCATGCAAAGGGTGGGCCACCAGCCTGGGGCCCCAGCCCCCACTGCCCCTCCTGACATCGAGGGGCCATGTCAGCAGGCAGTGGCCACGACAGCCCATCCCCACCACTGCATCCCTACCCTTCAGGGACCGGAACCTTCTTCTGGGCCTTGGGAGCCACCGGGTTCAACTCGCCAGCAAAGAGGGCACTCACTTCTTCCGCCACAGGCACATCCTTGGCCTGGAGCTTCTGGACGTGCTTGACCAGCTGCAAGATGCAGGACGCCTGGGGGCAAGGATAAGTCACAGGCGGCGCCCGACAGGAAGGCCTCTTGGCCATGCTCAGGCACCTGGGTGGCCCTGCCAGAGCCACGCAAAGCCCAGCCTTCGCTTGGTCTCCCGTCATCACCTTCGCCAGGAGGCGGCAAAAAGTGCAAGTCCACATACAGAACGGGTAGGAGCCACGACAGCGGGAGATCCCCTGGGAATGCCTGTGGGCTCCCGGTCTCCGTGCTGGCTCCAGCCCAGAGGTGGCCAGGCTGAGCGGCCCGGTGCAGCGACCACAAGCCCAGGGTCCCAGCCGGCCCAGTACAGTGGGTGCAGGCCACGCCCGACACACCTCTGGGGCTTGGTCTCCTCAGCCATCAGGTGGGCCAATGCTACACCCAGCCTCTATCCAGAGGGCCAAAGACCTGGTGGGCACCGCCTAGCACGGGCACGCAGTGGGTCACTGGCCACTGGCGCCCCTGCAAGAGGAGCCACAGCCGCCTGCCTGCTGCCCTAGCTGCATCCCAGGCTCTCGCCCACCTGCTGCCTCACCGCATATGCCACACCAGCTTTTCCCGTGCCGGGAGCAGCATGCCACACGCGCGTAACCCAAATACCTGCTGCCACCCAAGACTGCCTCTGAGGCCGACGGACCCGGGACCCACCAATCGATCCCACTTGTTGATCCCACGTCCCACTGATCGGCCCCCAGGCACCAGCTGGGCTCAAGCCACGACAAGGGGACTTCCCTGACTTGCTCTGAGAAAGGAACCAAGGCCAGTGTGAAACAGTCACAGCAGGAAGGAATCGCCGGCAGGTCACTGAGGGCCTCTCCCCAGGCTCAGCCCCTGGAAGCCACAGAGCGCGCGCGTGCCTGGCTTACCCGCTCCTGCACTTCCAGGTCCGCGCTCTGCACGAACTGGGGCAGCCGGTCCACCATGAGCTGGGTGACCGCCTGGGCTGCCTCTGCATCCGTGGCCTGCTCCTTCTGCTGCAGGATGGATGCGTACAGCTTGACCACATTCTGCACGTACACGGCCTGGATGTGGCCAGGCAGGGTGGTGACCTTGGGCCGCAGCATGGCCTCCAGGGTGTGGTGGGGCTCCTGCAGATGCCTGAAGGACGATGAGCTGGGGTGAGGCCGCTGAGGGCGCAGGTCCCAGCGGCTCCCCTCCAGCAGATCAGGAGCCGAGAGGCCTGGGCTCCCTACAGACGGGGCAACCTGGGGACCCTCTGTCCCCTGACCAGGTGCCAGGGGCTGAGACAGGACGCGAAGGATCCAGGAAGAGGGAAGTCACAAAAGGCATAGAGTGGCTGAGGGAGGAAGGCCGGGGAACAGAGGAAAAGGCCACAACGCCTCGGCCGCTCCAGAGAAAGCCGCCCTCAAAGGCAGGGCGAAGAGGGAGCGTGGGAAGACCTGCCACGCCGAGAACAGGACCCAAGTGCGCCTCGCTGCTGTGTCTCATTGTTTGGGATCAGAAACGCTCATGGTTACGCTGTCTCCCCAGTGAGGATCATACCCCAGAGAGTCCCTCCCGCACACCAGGAGAGCCAGAGCCTTCAGAGTGGGAAGTGGTGGGATGGCAAGGACGGGATGGCACGCACGGAGGCAGGTGCCCTGTGGCACCGACTGGGCCAGGCCTGGGAGTGCAGGGTGTGGGAGTCTAGTGGCAAATCTCAGTGTCTCCCAACAGAACTTGGAAATCCAGATTTGTGAAAACTTGTGGGTATAAGTCTTGGTAACAAATCCCCAGTCCAGGCAGGGCCCAAGGTCAAGTCTGCCCTGCAAAGGCTGGGACTCGTAATCTTGGGGTCCTTGAGCCCCTGGGAATGGTGCATCCAGAGAGATCCCAACGCTCCTGGTGGTCTCCCGGAACCTGGTAGTGAGACCCCAGCAGGGTCCAGCAGCGGGCAGGCTGACCCTGAGGGTCCCCTCGAAGCATAGGCCCAGGCAGGGGGGCAGAGCCGGGACCCTTGGAGGCCAGGGACCAGCCCCCTTTTCAGCAGCCACCTGTGACAGGCAGGGCCCCAGGGACCCTGGCACCCCCACCCCCGTACCAAGCAGGATCCAGAGAAGGGCAAAGAGGACAGAGCCAGCAAACGCAGCTCCGTGACGGGGAGCGAGCGGCCGGGCCCTCGGGGCCTGCTGCTGGGAAGGAACCGGAACGCAGACTGAGGGCAGCAGGGTGATGTTGGCAGGAAAGGTCTGGGCACACCCTCGCCCAGCCCCAGGGGAGCCCAAGACACCGAGCACACCCCACTGAGCCCCCCGCAGCCCCACCCCCACTCACTCTGAGAACTCCCCGCAGATCCAGGCTGCGGCGTAGAGCACCTCGCAGATCCCGTTCCGCTGAGTGCTGCTGGCCACCAGGTGGGCGCTGTCAAGCAGCGCGGACATCTGGGACACGGCGAAGCTGCGGATGGCCTTCACACGGATGGCCACGTCCAGCATCTGGGCGGCAATGAGGTGGCCGTGGCGGGTGCCCTCCAGCCGGGTCAGCTCCACCAGGATGCTGATGTACCTGTGGGGCTGCGAGAGTCAGGGCGCTCCCGATCCTGCCCGGCCCCACCCTCCCGGGGAGACGCACCACTCGAAGTTGGTGATGTACTGGTAGTTGGACTGGCTGCAGATGTCGATGATCTTGGTGAGCAGCTCGTCGCGGTAGGTGGTGCCCTCCGCCTTGTCCACGTGAGTCATCAGCTTCTTGACAATCTCCATCAGGTTCTTCTTGGACACCTGGCAGGAGGCAAGGGGGAACCCGGCTCAGGGTCTGAGGCAGGCAACAGGCGCCCTTTCCTGAGACAGAATCTGGAGGCCGCGGTGACTCAGGATTCAGACTGACAAGTGACACCAGGGAGACAGCACGTCCTGGTGACACTGGAGGGCAGACGAGGTCCTCCAGGCCAGGAGGCAGCAGGGTGACCACCACGGTCCACTCTGGGGACTTGCCCCCCACCCGAGCCTGGTCCCCAAGCTCATAGGTCCTCAAAGACGGGTCGGACCGGGACACGTACCACCCTGCCCAGCCTAACATGCTCACTGACCGCCCTAAACACAAAGGGACTGACGGTGACACCCGAGCTGACCTGGGGAGGGAGGGGGTTGGGAGGCACGCACCATCCCGTATAGCAGGTCCAGGGCCCGCAGCCGGATGGACTCATCCTTGTCATCCAGACACTGCAGAATGAGGTCCTTGTGGGACTGCACGGACTTAGGATGCGTTTTCAGGATCTTGGACATGGCCAACAGACCCAGGTACTTCACTGTGGAGAGACGGCCACAGGCGGGTGGTCACCCGAGTCATCAGCACAGCAGGGAGCACGCAAGACTGGGTGTTCCTGGGTGGACAATCGCTTGAGCACAGCTCCGCCTGGGAGCCTCCACCGGCTGTCCCCACATGAACCCTGGGCAGCACAGTCCACACAAGGGGCTTCTGGAAGGTACACGGGGTGTGTGAATGGGGCAGGGAAAGAGCCCTGGACTCCATAATGCAGCACCCTCCCAAAGCCTCTGCTCACCAGGAAGTTCTAGTAGCTACATCTTCCTGCCTGGCCAGCACAGAGAGTGGCCAGAGAAGATGGGCCTCACACCTGCCCGCTACTGACTGGCCACCCGACGGGCCTCAACCTGGCTCACAGGGCACTGAGAGCAGCCGAGGGGAGGCCCGAGGTGCACACGCTTAACTAGGGGCCATGCCCGCCACAAGCTGTCTCTGCAATGAGGCTCCACGGCACCGGCAGACCGGTCCCTCACTGACATCCATGGGGCAAGTTGAGCAGAGACAGACTGTGTGGGCCACCGAGCAGCAAGTCCAGTCGCGCCCATTTATCTGTAAGGACAGTCCCAAGGCTTGACTCTAAGGTACCTGCGACCATGGACAAGACAGAACTCTGCACGTGCTGAGTTCTTCCCATACGCATATGCCTACGACAAAGTAGTTTGTAAGGCAGCCACCATGAAGGACTAACAATGGTAACTAATGGGACAGAACAGCTGTAACCATACACTGTGATAACAGTTACATGAACAAGCCCGGCTCGGTGGCTCAGCCTGTAATCCCGCGCCTTTGGGAGGCTGAGGTGAGTGGATGGCCTGAGTCCGCGGGTTCGAGACCCGCCTGGGCCACTTGGCGAGACCTCATCTCTACAATAAATCAAAAATCAGCCGGGCATGGTAGCGCTCCTGTAGTTCCAGCGACTTGGAAGGCTGAGGGGGAAGGATCGCCGGGGCCCAGCAGGTCGAGGCTGCGGTGGCCGGGAGCGGCCACTGCACTCCAGTCTGGGCGACAGAGTGAGACTCCAACTCAAAAAAAAATAAAAAAATAAAAATAAAAAAATAATGAAAAGTTACATGAACAAAGTCTCTCAAATTTCTGACTGTCCTCACTCACGCATCTGGGGATTGTGGTTGGCTGCCTGTAACTGAAACCGTGGATGAGAAGGGACAACTCTGTCCACTACCTGGGACCTAGAGGGACAAGTCTGCGACTCCCACAAAGACCTGCCTTCACAAACATCCTGACATAGCCCACCCTGGGCTCCAGGGCCACTGAGCTGGAAGTCCTCCAGAGAGTATGCATGAGGCAAGGACACGTGGATGGACACCCGGGGCAGGAGAGCAACGTGTTGTTCCAGCTGGCACGAACCTCGTGCACCCTGCAGGGACATACAGTCTTAAATTGGGGAAAACGTCCACCAGGTCACTCAGTGAGTGGGCACCAGTGTGGCCCTGCCCAGAGGCCACAATCCCTGTCTGCCTGGGATTGGGTGCAAAGTGAGCTGGGCTGGCACACCAGCCGCCTAAGACTTTCTCAGCCTGGACACAGACCAGGGGTGTGGCTGGGAGTGTGAACACACGGAGGCCGCTAGGGAGCAGCAGGGGCCATCTCTGGGCACAACGCCAGAGTGTCATTATGGGCATCTGTGGGGAAGAGCTGGTGGTGCTGACGCTGTGTCTGCTGGGAAGAGTCCTGACTTCACCAAGGTCTCGAATTCAGAAACGAAGAGTTGGCGGGGACTAGAACTTACGGTTTTGATCGGAGTCTTCTATTAATATCCTTAATTTCTGAACACAAAGCTGAAAAGAAGACTGCTGGTTACACCTTCAGAAAGCAGGATGAGTTCTGCTGTCCCAGGCCTGCCCAGGTCCCCTCCCCTGCCCTGGCCTACGACCCCCTGCATCAGCCCTGTAGTGCAACCCAGAAGGACAGGAGAGAAGCCACAGGGCCCCACACAAAGGCACCAGGGGCTAGTGTGCCTGGAGACAAGGGAGGGATGGGTAGCCTGGGGCCTGCACCGAGGACCCTCCTTGAGCCGGCAAGAACAGGCCGGAGATAAAAGACACACTGCCCCACCAGCACACGGTATGTGGGAGTGATCCAACCAAGCCGTGGGGCCCAGGGTGGGAACGAGGATTCGGAAACTCAATCTATGCAGTCATGCAATTAAAGGAAGCTTAAAGAACAAGACACAAGGGGCCACCACCCCGATTGTCTCTAGGCCTGTCAGGGAGCTCCTGGGCTCCACGGTGGCATTTCATGAGGGTCACAGACAACAAGGCCAGTGACTGGAAGGTGGAAAGCCTAGGAGGGAGTAAAACACAGATGTGACCTGGGAGTCTGCCAGGGGAGCCAGGAGCCACCAGCGCCTGGTTGGAGAGCGCATACTGGGGCAGATGGGGCCGTGGTTCAAGTGGGTGTCCCCTCACAGACATACTGCACAGAACCCCAGCTGGACCAGGTGTGGGATACACAGGCTGGGGCCGTGCCATCCTGAGCACTGAGGATGACACGTGAAGAGGGAGGGGCCCAGCCTGTGAAGAGGCACAGCGGCCCCAGGTGCAACGTACCTGGATACTGGCACTGTGGTTGGGCATGCCGGACGACAGGGAGATGAGCACTGCAACAGACAGGCAGTCAACTGTGAGCCACCCCTACACGCACGGCCACTGTGGCTCTGGCCTCTCTCACGGAGGGGACAGAACCGCAGTGGAAAAGAAGAACGGCCACCAGGGCTGGGGCTGCAGTGTCTGAGAGTGACGCGCACACTGCAGGCCCAAGGCTGTGTCTGGGACCCTGGACTGCTTGCCCTCCTGCCCCAACAGAAGGCTCTGGGGCCTGAACTGTCCCTGCAGACGCTGTGCTCCACGCTTGAACCAGCGCTCCCCTGGGTCTAAACTCTCAGCAGAGCCAGGCTGGGGCCACGTGACCAGCCCCACAGGAGCCCGGCCCAGCTCTGTGCTTCACTGGTGACACTTCACGCGTGTCTCAGCTCGCTGCTGGGGGATGAACGCGACCCACATGACCCCACAGGAGATGGTTCTGGAAGCCGGGCCTGGCCTCCGACTCACCCCACGCACAC